AAGGCAAAAATATCCTTGAATTCTTTTAACAGATAGTGCAAGTATGCACCCAACTTTGCAAATACAACCGTCCCAACCTTAACAGTTTGCTCCGGACGTGTATCGTCCAGAACGATGTCAATATGTTCACCAGCCGGCTGGGGACGGAGATCATCTGACCGTTCCCCGATCAGTGATTGCTATTGCCTCTCTTTTTCTACGGCCATCAACTGGTCCGCCTTCCTCTTTTTGCTTGCTGCTACGAGAGCAGGCACTGCTTCCTTGAGTTCATCAAGGTCTATGGGCTCCTTGCCTTGGCAAGATGCGGCCACAGTAGGCTTGATATTTGAGAGATAACACTCCCGGGTCGTCTTCTGATCCCCATTTAGTGAGCCTACAGACCCGTCACCCCTCTCAAATTTTAGGAGCATGAGGGATGAAATAATAACAGCCTTGGATTCGTTGAGGGTCGGACGGCCCAATATCAGATTATACGAGGTCAACTCTTCGACAACCAAGAACTTGACGACCATGTGGCATCCTTCCCCTTCTCCCCTAGCCGGATGGGTAGGTCAATCCTCCCCACCGGATGCACTACTCCACCCCCAAAACCAACTAAGGGGTGAGAAACTTTGTGCATACTGCTAGGCTTGTACTTGAGCTTTGCCAAGAACTTGTATCTGATAAGGTCAGACGAGCTGCCAGCGTCGATAAGGATCCGGCCTACCCTTTGGTTAGGCACCTTGCATTCAATGACTATGGGGTCATCATGTGGTCGCCTGACCTTGCCCCTATCCTTCTCAGTGATAATGACCTCAGGGAAGGTGTCTTTTGACGCCTAGCCCTCATCAATTGAGTTGACATCCAGCCGCCTGATGTAGTTCTTAGTGCCCCGGATGGTTGGACCCCCTCCAGCAAAGCCGCCTGGTATTGTATAGATCGACTCTTCATTAGTGTCCTAACTAATAGCAAGTTAGGATGCCTCTTTGGACGGCTGTCCATTGTTTGTTTTTAGGGTCACCTTGGACTTTAGGATGTAGGAGTTTAGCACCCCTTTATCAGCCAAACGGTCCAATAAACGTGTGAGGCTATAACAGTTGTTGGTGTCATGGCTTATGTCCTCATGGAAATAACAGTATTTGTTCTTATTCCGATTTTTGACGGAACCTTTCATTGCAGCCGGTTTCTCAATTGTCACCCGGTCTTTAATCTCCATGAGGATGGAGTAGCGGTCCTTGTTAAACTCGTACTTGGGAACGTACGGTTTAAACTCTTTTTCTTTCTTCTTTTTTGGGATGGCTGTTTAGAGTCATCTGCCAGCCAGACTTCTTTTGTCTTCTTGCTTTCTTCTTTTTTAGTCGGCCGAGTAGGCCAACTCTCTTTTTTGTCGGACTTTTTAGGGTCCGACTGCTTACTGATGGCACAAAGCTCAATCGCTTGTATATAGGCTTCTACCTCCATCAGAGCTTCTTAGAAGGTAGCAACCCTCTTTTTGACGAGATCGAACTTAACGGTCGATCCGTCTTTCAGATCTTTAAAAAATTATGTGTAAGCCACTTCGTCATACAGCCCTTGAATCTAATTCTCATCAGATTAAACCGCCTGACGTAGGACCTTAGCCCTTCTCTATCTCCCTGCTGTATGGCACCCAAGTCCAGACTAGTTTTTCTTAGCAGGGATGTTCATAGAGAAGTTGAAAGCAAACATGTACACAAGCGTCTTGAAGCTATTGATGCATTTGGGTGGCAGGTTGTCAAACCATCGTTGGGCTATGCCCTTCAATGTTGTTGGAAAGCATCGGCACCAGGTGGCATCATCCAACCCCTGTAAGTACATGAGGTTGGTGTAAGACATTAGGTGGTCTTCTGGGTTGGTGGTACCATCATAAGTACCTACCAAAACATTCTTAACCTTGGCCGGCTGTGCCGCCTCGGTTATCTCCTTGGAGAACGCAGAAGGTTGTTCCCCAAATTTGAGCAGACGAAGCTGCTAGTCCAATGGTTGGACATTTTATGCCGCCTGACCCCCAAAGAGGGTCGGCTTCATGTATGGTTGTCCATACGGCATGTATGGCTGCTGAGGCACATACGAAGCCGAATGGATAATCTGACGACCAGTATGGACGGACAAGCCGCCTGACTGACTCTCTCGGTTTGATTGTGAATACCTCATTGAGGTATTTTGAAAGCTGTTTGGGTAAGTCGATTTTGAAGCCAACTCAGACGGCTGTTGGCTTTTCTTCTGCTGGATTAATAATCGAGCATCAGAATAAATCTTCTTTGATCCATACGGCTGAACATGCCGGATGACCTTCCTCTTCCCCGTTTCAGGGAATCGGATCTTAGACAGATCAATCAATGGCCGGTTCTCATCTTTTGGTTTGGGATGCGGAGTAGGCACACGGTCCTTGACTGGCTTTTTCTTCTTGCCCGACTGACCCCTGCTGGAGCCAGCCGTCTTCTTGTTGATCAAGTCCTTGATTTCCCCTTTGAAACTTGTCATGAAATTCATGAGTTCGTCTCTAGTAACTGGGGCTGCACCTTCTGCCGCCTGGGGTTGTCCAGACGGCTGTTTGATTGTCTCATTTAGACCAGCTTGATTTTTGCACTGTTCCCTTGTTTCCATGGGACAGGTGCGCCTAGTTGTGAGTGACCCGTCTAGGGCCATATAGGTTTCGACATCGAAGTCGTCACCACTATCTTGGTCTGTATGGACCTCAAAGTCGGTCGTAGGCCGTTTCTCATTTGAAGGCGGTACAAGTTCTTGTGAACCCATCTTAGAAGTACTCTCCCCACAGACGACACCAAATGTTTCGGGATTTTCAGTGTCCCTCGGGAGAGTTACAATTCCAAGACTGGATTCCAGGCGCCTGTACCTGCAAAACAACAGAGACTCTGGTGGGGTGGAGCTCCGCCTCTGACGATCAAGTTAGAACGTGTTTGGATAATGTAAAAAGTGCGGAAAGTAAAGTATCTTCTCGGATTCCGAGATGGAGGGTATTCTCTGAGGTGAGGTAAATATCTGCAATTAATGATTGCTATTTTTTCAGTGAATGTTTTTGTGTATATTTCTGAATGCCTTTCCCATGTGAGAATATCTCCCTATTTATAGGATCTTAGGATGCGTGCCGCCATCATAGGTTACGGAAACCTAGGAATGGTGGGCTATCCCGGGAATTGGGCCTTGAGGGCCGCCTTTTTCCCAATGATTGGGGATGCCACATGTCAGTAGAGGATTGGTTCATTTTGAACCTCCCTTAAGGTAACACGTGTCACCATTTTATTGGGCCACATGGCCTTGAGTATTTTTACCCAAAACAATATATATCATAAACATAATGAGAATATTTTGTGTGTATTCTTTATCACAGCCCGCAGTTTAAACTAGAGAAAGTGAAATACAGATTAAAGCTTAATTATATTGATGAGTATAAAAGAATATATATAGTACATGGATGGAGCATTGAATATCAATAAACTATGGCTACTTACAAAATATGATTAGGTACTTTAGCTAAGTTTTTTGGATATTTGACTATCATCCAATAAATAAGGAGTAAATTCAAGGGATTACACAAATTATTAAAGATAACTAATAATGATAATGGTGAATTAGTCATCATTATCCTTTACACCTATGTATGGATAAAAAAAAGTTTCGAATTCGGCATCAAGGTGCCAAAAGTGTTGCACTAACCTTTTTCTGAAAAAAAGGTGCCAAAAGTGTTGTTGAGCAGAAGTTATTTGAGTTGAAACTTTTCGAGAAGGGAGCACATTGTGGGTATCGACAAAGGTTTTTGATAGTGTAGCCATGAAATAAGAGGATGTATGTAGCAGCGAAAGTGAAAAAAATGGATTTATAGTTCCGATACCATGATAAATTTGTGAGAAAGAGAATGTTGGAAAGGTTATATAATATTTCCTCCGTTTCATAATGTTAGTCCCATATACTATTTTAGGCGTTTCAAAAAGATTTACCCATATTATATTGAATATATTCCATTTTTAACTTAGTTTTTATTTCTTATTTTATATATATTAAATTATGATTGGTTAAATTAAGGGGTCGTTTGGTTTGCACGGGGTAAACAGAATGGAATGAACAAAGGGAATGAAATGAAATGGAATGAAAATCCCTCAAATGTAGTATGTTGTTTGGTTGTAAAAAAATAATGGGAATCACTAGATTCACCACCACCACTGTTGATCTCTTTCATTAAAATTTTCCCCACTCTTAGGCCTCCGGTGACCCCCTGCAAGCACCCTAGCCCCCTCCCCTGCGCCGGCGACACCAACCCCGGCCTCCTTGCCGCTCCCTCTCCCTTCTCCGACTCCTACCCACCACGTAAAAAACCCTAACTCCGACGACGTATCAATCCCATTGCTCCAACGTTCAGATTCGTTGGTGGTTTGAGGGGAGGGGAATAAGGTTTCGGAAATGGTGGTTTGGGGGAGGGGAGCTGTTTCCGATGATGTGTCGTTGGTGGTTTGAGGGGAGGGGAATGAGGTTTCGGTGATGGTGGTTTGGGGGAGGGGAGGGCGAAGACGACGGTGACGAAGGTGAAGACGGTGACGATGGTGATGGTGGTTCCAGTGATGTGGGTAGGTAGGAGGGTGGTGGTATGGTGGTGTGGTGGTGGCCAAGGAATGGAATGGAAATACCTTGGGGGGTGGGGAATGAACTTGGAGGGATTTGGGGGAATGAAGGGGGTAAAGGGAATTGGAAAAGTGGCCTAACAAACAACAACAAAGGGAATGATTCCCGTCGATTCCCATTCCCTTTGTTGAATACCCCCAACCAAACGACACCTAATTGATTGTTGATTGATGACATGGCTCTAAGTAAGGAAATTCCTCCCTTGAATTATGCAATTATGGATGTTACTTTAAAAAAAAAAATCATAAATTTAAATAAGGTAAACTAATTATGAACTGTTTTTGTACTTAGCTTAGATGTTAATATTCATGTTTTCTTATTTTATGTGATTGATTACATATGAAACTATCATATAGAAACGGAGGGAGTATATAATATGATCTTATAAATATGTTGTTGAATTTGTCATAATGTCTACTTTTATAGATTAATTTTTTCATATTTTTTACTAATTTCTAATTAAAGATATTGATGGTTAAGATTGTGCCGAAAACAGAGGGAGTACATGAATAGAGCATTAAAGATCAACAAACTATGACTAGGTACAAAGGCACAAAGTGTAAATTAGTACATTAGCCAAGAGTTAGGGATATAATTTGACTACCTAATTAAAGATAAGGAGTACTTCAAGAGATTACACAAACTATGTACAGTAACTAATATGATAATTGTGATTTAGTCATCATTATACTTCACAATTATGTCTGAATCTAGCATCGATCGGTGAAAGATACTTTCTATATATGTAAGCCATGGTCAAAAGAGAAGCAGCAAAAGTGTGCCAGTGATATATAGGATAAGCAATAACCACAATCTACGCATTTGTTAAATTAGAGACAAATATGATGACAAGTGCAAGAAAAATAGAAACCGTTATTCGGGCAATAAAAAATAAATACTTTGTATTTAGTAAGTGTATAATCAATAACCACAAAGCTAAATGTATGATTATAATTTATAATTATGATATTAAGTAGTAACATTTAAAGTTAATAAGTTATAAGAAAAAAGTTCATAAGATGGCTAGCATTTGATAAGTATAACCTAATTGTCTCTTTATTAATATATTGGAGCACAATACCTTTCCATTATGAATTGAAGTCATGAAGTGACGCTGGTTGATTGTTCAAGGATTTGGCTAGTTCCCTTAGAATAAATTTCTGCACTTTTCCAGTTGAACTAATAGCCAAGTTCCCAAAAACCACAACCTTAGGTATCATTTGTATGGGTAATTTTTCACTACAATATTGAATTATTTCTCCTTCACTTGCATCAAACCCAATCTTAAGCTTAAGAAAAGCACAAGGAACCTCATCATTGTTCGAATCATGATCAACAGGCATAGCAACTACCGCGGCTTGTAGAACTTTTGGATGAGTTAGCAACACTGCTTCGATCTCCAAACTACTTATGCTTTCTCCCTTTGATACGATGGCATCAATGACACGGTCCTTAAGTTGTAGGCGACCATCTTGATGCCTAACGGCCAAGTCCCCCGTGTGGAACCACCCACCCTTGAAAACCTTTTTAGTCATAGTAGGAGCCTTAAGGTATCCCATCATCAAAGCATTTCCCTTAAACATGACTTCCCCTAATGTTTTGCCATCACAAGGTACACTTTTCATTGTATTTGGATCTTTAACATCGAACTCTTCCATCAAATGATCCATAATATTGACATTACTATTTAATGCTTTGGCACAATTATTATTCCACAATTTGTTAATCACTGGAGGTCCTAGAATCTCGGTCATTCCATACCTATGCACAACCTCAAACCCCATATTTTCGACCTTGTTTATAGTATCACATGGTGGCATAACACCGGCAACATGAGCATAAACCTTATGTGGAAGAACATATTCACTAGCATTCCTATGATTTTCCTCAACGATAGTTGATAAAATGCTAGGGTGACCAGATAAATGAGTGACCTTGTACAAAGATATAGAGTAGAGTACGTTACCATCATTCGTGTTGCTAAGAAATACATTTGTTCCACCAAGGGCAGCAATTGCCCATGTAAACCCCCATCCATTAGCTCGAAACAAATCCGCAGTCCACAAGAATACGACTTTGGATTGCTCTCTTAAATCACTTCGAAGAATTTCTCCTAACGCGTTCAAGTAGGCAGCTCTATGACTATACGCCACACCTTTAGGATGACCAGTCGAACCAGACGTGTAAGTCACTAAAATTGGATCACATTCATTATAAGGCATAATAGGTTCAAAATCATCGAATCGACCCATATCAAGAATCTCATTATAGTATAGACTATTAGGTAATGTTGATGCACAAGTAGATGAAATTGACACAAGGACTAATAGAGGGGTCTTGACTAGTTTGTCATTGAGATGATTGAGAATTTCGACAACTGGTTCGATGTTTTGATGGTCAAGAAATATACATTTGGGCATTAATTCCTCCAATATTGTGGAAAGAGTAATTATGTCCAAGCTTGGATTCAAAGTTGAAAGAACACCACCCGCCATTGCGACACCAAAGTGAAGTTCATATAGTTCTGGAGTACTTGGAACCATTGCTACAACCTATAAGACATAGAAGAGTAACAACTTATGTGATGAACTGCATTATTAACATATCTTTATATAAACACTCAATTATTTTTTTATTTTTCTAATTGATCTTCTACAAAACATAGACACTTAATAATTTTTCCATTCATTTTTATTTTTGAGCAAATTGTAGTTGAGTTATGTGGTATTAATTATCAACCCTAGATGAATAACTAAGTACTAAAATCCTAATATATCTCAATTGGACGACACACTGGGTATTGACATTGAATATGAAATTTATTTGGATATAAAAAACCTAAATAATAAATTGATATTAGGGAAAATTTGTAAAAAATAATACAACCTTTAAACGGTCCACCAAAAACAAGTCAACTTTTTGATTAAATCGAAATAATACAATCTTTTGAGGGTATCCTCTTTAAACAAGATATTTTACCTGCACCCTTAAACAGGTTAAAATTTTTTGAAAATAAATTCGTTAAACAATCTAATTAACTCTTAATTAAAACTTTAATTATGGTTAATTAATAATTAAAATAATTAAAATCTTTACAAGAAAATTTAAAAAAAAAACCACCCACCTCCACCACCAGCCACCCCTTTCCCCTTCCCCGGCGACCTGCCAACCCAGCCCCACGACGCTAGCCTCACCCGGATCCCTCTCTCCCGGCACCGGCGCTGACCCTCATCCCCCGCGTGTCGCCTCCTTCTCTACGCCATATATATTTAAAGGTCCTTCCTTATTCCACTACTTAAAAAACGACCCCTAAAGAAAAGTGATGCACTTAAATAAACGGAGTACAAGTAAAGTGTACTACTTCCACTCTTATTCTAATTGGTACATATTCTAATCGTGAAATTTTGAACTCAATGGTGGATCTAGGGCCAAAAAGGTGCATAGGGTTAGGATATCATCCTCTAACCTTCTGTAAATAAATAACAATACATCGGCCAATGACCACTATAAACTAGACATGATCAAAGGGCGGGCCGAGTCGGGTTCAAGTAAAAAATGATTTCCCAAAACATGCAAAATTAAGTCGGGTTTTTTTGAACGGGCTAAAAATAACTAAAAATTTATAAAATGCATGTCCAAGACCCGTGGAGAAATATTTCAAGGTAAAATTTTTTTGCCCAATGCCCACCCAAATTAGGTTTTGCCTAACATGATCAACTCTGCACTATATTATTATTTTCTATATGCAGTTATGCACTTATTAGACATAATAACCAATAACGTAGAATAATGACCTGCCCCTATCAATAAGTATATACATAAAGTTTCATATAGTGTGGCCGGAGTTATATACTTGGCCATGAGTTACTCGATCGGTTAGGGATTACTAAATTAGGAATTACTTGGTCAAGGGTTACTCGATCGGTCAGGGGTTACTCGATTAGTCAGGGGTTACTCAGTCACGGGCTAGTCGATCCGTCATCGGTTACTCGGTCAGCGGTTAATCGTCGGTTAGGGAATACTCGGTCGGGTTACCCGCCGGTCAGTGCTTTAGTGTGTGTAAACTGGTCATACGGTGTAGTTGGTCAGACATGCTGATGTATATATTATATGTAATAAAAAGTTTGTGTCTAAAACTATGAAATTAGTGCAAATATATTATTAATTATCAAAGTGCGTGTACCTAAATAGTTTAAAAGTCAAATAGAAATTCAATTTTTCTCAAAATCTTTAGCATCTTTTTTTTTTCTTTTTTTTTTTTTTTGAGTAAAATATCTTTTGCATCTTTGATTTCTCTACATCCTTTACTCCGTATTTCCTTGTTTATATAATATGTATTGATAGATAAGTTTTGGACGGTTCCGGCCGGAAGCAAACAAAAATAACAGACACAATTCACATTCCGCCGTGTTTTGCGTGGTTGACAATGAGGTTAGTTGACTCGTTAGGCCGAAATAATAGCCGAAATATTGGAGAAGCGAAGTGGTCTTCGATTTCAATGATTTAAACGTTGGTTTTATCTGCAACTATGGACTAGTCGTCGTGCAAAGGAAATGTGTTCACAAACAATAAAACGTACGTATTATTTCATAGTCGTACTAATTATCTTGGCTATATATGCTTGTCTGTATTATTCTGATTGAATAGCATATATCGTTTATCGTTTCAACTAGTGTGATTGTGAGCTTTCATTTTTAAGTGGATTATATATTATAAATCCAAAAAGATACGTGATATACGTGATAAAAAAAGTTAGATAGATTTAGTAGGATAAAAAACATATTTTAGAGTTTTATTTTCAGTAAAATTTGGATAGATTGGATAAAAAAGTTATTTTAAAGTTTTATTTTCAATAAAACTTTTGGTTTAGAATTTTATTTTCAATAAAATACCAATATTTATATACAAATAAAGGATCCAGAGAGGTATAAAAGGAAAAAAAAAAAGTAAATCAAAGAGACCTATTATTATATATAACCATTCCTTTTTAAAAAATTAATTATATATAACCATTCTCTTAAATCTTAACATTCAGCTTTAGAAAACCGTTCCTTTTTATTGTACATTATTACTTCTAATTTTTGTAGATTGTCAAGCGATTATTAATTCATAAAATACCCATAAACAAACAAGTATGGTTGTAAAGTAATTATTAATCAATCAGTACAAAATTCCAATAATATACGGAGTATATAGTTTAGATAAAAAGTTTTATTTTAAAATTCAATAAACAACCCGAGCCAAGTATATATTAGGATTTTTTGTAAATTACCACCCAAAAAACTGTCCACTTTTGATATAACCACCCAAAAAATAATTTATTTTAAATTACCACCCATTAAATTAAAAAAATGCTCAGATCACCACCCATTTAGAATTTCCGTCAGTGGGCCCCACTTTTTTTATTTTTTTCCTTTTTTTTTTCTGGCTTTCTCACTCTCTCTCCCCGATTTCACTCTTCTTCTTCCTACCTTCTTCCTTTCTTCTTCCCAACCACCACCCCCACCATTGCTCCCTCACCCCAATCTCCCCCACTTTCTCTCTCCTCCATTTTTGTATACTTCCTAGCCACTGCAATCTACCCCACCACCCTCAACACACCCCACCGACCACCGCCTTCAACTTCACTGCCCTCCACCTCTGCCTTCGAAACCCAAAAACAAAATCTAGAGAGAGAAAGCTCTCATAATCCCAAATAAAGGGCGAGTTTCACAGATCTGAGCATTTATTCTAAAATTTAATTAACAACTCGTGGTGAACGCACATCTGGATTTCAAAATTGGGCATAAATTGATGGTCGAATGTTGCAATTGGAGCTGAAATCGGTGTTGTCGGGGATGAAATTGAACCAATTGGTGGCTGAAATGGGTTTAATTAGCGACGAATTGGGTGAGATTGGTGAAGCGATGTTGAAGAGGTGGGGTACGGTGGTTGCGGGCTGATGTTGCTGCAATTGGCTGGGGTGGTCGTGGGTAGGGGGATTTTGTGGGTGGCTGAGGTTGAATGGGTGGTTGGGTTTATGGGTTTCGGGTGGCTGGGGTTGAACGGAATGGTGGTTGGGTTTAGAGGTGGCTGAGGTTGAACAGGGTGGTCGGGTCTTGGGGTTTCGGGTTGCCCGGAAAATTTCTATTTTCCGGCATCAACCCCGAAAGAATCAGAGCTGTGTTTAGTAAAGTGGGATGTATGAAGATGATGATTTTGTTGTTGTTGATGATAGATAGTCAGGATGAAGAAAAGGGGAATTTCTGGTAGTTTGAGGATGCCATTGGAGTGATCCTGGAGCTTTTTTTTGCTCGTGGGTGGCGTGTCAGTCGTGGGAGTGGGGGTTGGGTGGTGATGTGGTGGTGGTTATGTGGGTGTATCATTCACATCTTTCTTTTAAAAAAAAACAACATATTTGACACCATTATTCAACCTAATAAACAATCATTCACCAAATTTGGACAACACCAACACCAATTACCAGAAAAATAACATAAACACCCAATTAATTACTTCCACGAAACCTAATTGCAAAATCCCCCAAATAAATTTACCCAGGAACCCTAATTTTTAAAGTTCAGGAGTCTTACCTCAAATGCGAATTCAATTGGGTCTGAACTTCAATGGATTAATTCGTCGCACAATACCAGTTCAAATTTGGGGAATTTGGAAAAAATTAGGGGAAGAATTTGTTAATTGGAGATATATTTTTTTTTCCAAGTAATTGTAGTTGGGAAATATATAAACACGAAAAATCGAGGAGAAACCCAGTCAATTAAGTCAAACTAGCCGTTAATAGCAGTTATGTGGGCCCCTCAAACGGATTTTCAACCGGAAAATCAAAATGGGTGGTAATCTGAAAGATTAATTAATTTAATGGGTGGTTATTTAAAATAAAGTTTTTAATGGGTGGTAATTTCAAAACTGGACCTCTTTTTGGGTGGTAATTTACAAATTTTCCTATATATTATAAATCGAAAAAGATACGTGATAATTCTATTAATTTCTCCCTTATTTTTACATCACATATTATAAAAAGTTCAACAAAATTAATTTATATCATCATTTTTTTTCTTAATCTTAATACAAGTGGGATTTTTGAGAAATGTAGACATTTATCTATACGATACTATTTAAATTTCTTAAACAAAATGTCATCTTCATTACATATTACCGTCTATTTTTAAATAATACTTCGTACTGAACTAGCCTCCGACCAAAAAATCAATATAAATATCAAAATATGATACAACAGAGCACTTAATTATCACTTTAATCTCACAAATATTGCAGTAATAATAGAGTATGTTATGTCATATTATGTGCAATGACCCACCTTGATCCATTAAACTAGTTAATGTTAATGCAGAGTATTAAACCCTACATTATTTAAGAAAGTTAACATTTGTATAGTTTAGGTCAATTTTTTTTCACCTCAAAAAAGAATTTTTTTTTTTTTTCCTTCTTTTTTTTGGGACACCGAAGAAGTGATATTTTACATGCATGTAATAGACTCCTAACAACAAAACTATTTCTCACAAAAATAAAAACAATATATATATAGATTTAG